CGCATCCCTAGCATGCAACGAATATGTGCGTAAAAAATTTCAGCTCTATGAGATTCACCTTTGTATTGCTAATAATAGCCGAGACCTACAAGATTGCAAACACAACAGGCAATGTAATGAAAACATTCATATTTGCCTCACCGCCAGCACGATCCAACCGCGACCCTTTTCTCGTGTAAGTTCACTTAATTTCACCATTAATATACTTTTTTTTAATATTATATCATTTATGCAAAAAAAAATCCTTTTTTTTTTAATACAACTATAGGTGTTTGGACCTGTGGGATCAGATTTATAAACATCATTGTGTTGGGTTAGCTTAGTTTTTCAATATGATTTTGGGTAATTGAACAAATTTACCTCTAAACTATAAGTCTAGAAACATTTGAGATCTTAAACTTATTTTTTGTGCAATTTTTTCATTCAACTTTTGAAAACTATGCAATCTACTCTTGACATTAATAAAAGTTAATTTGACCGCTAGTTAACCATAACCAAACAAAAAGAGACCAAAAAAAAATTATGGAAAAGAACCAATAAAATTTTCTCAGTCCTTTTTATAATTTTTGGTCCTTTTATGAATTTTTTTGGTCTTTTTATGTAATTTTTGAAGTATTTTCTATTAGTTTTTAGTCAATTAATGGCTAAAATTAATTTTATTATTAACATGGTCAGCTTGCAATGTTTTTAAAAGTTGAATCAGAATATTAATATTGCACAAGAAAATACATTTAGAGTTCTAGATTATTTTTAGGCTTATAATTGGGGTGCCAATTTTCTCTTTGACCCTATAATTTTCTTTAAATTTTAAGTAGAATCAAGTCTTCCCACACGATATTGGCCCACCATTAGTTTTCTTATTTTTTTTGAGCATTCCTCATATCATTTAATATTTTATTTTTTTGTTTATTCAGCTCCGCATCATCATCAATATCGAACTGGAGGAAGAAGATGTTGATATGTAATCATGAAGCAACGGTACTGTGTTGTAAGAGAATGAAGAAAGGGTGATGTTAGCTAGTAGTATTGAAATAATGAAGTTTTTTGTTGGATATATGCTCGATGGACATCTCATATCTATGGTTTGACTATGGAATAAAATGAATGTTATTTAAATCATGATTGATCTGATTAATTTCGACCATATCATGCTTGGACCAAATGACACTTACTAAACTCTTAACTGATTCAATAATCCACTCCGTTGTTAGTGCTTTATATTTTAATTTGCCTCAATGTACCTTTTCTTCATTTTTAGCCGTTAATTTTCACTAAAGATAAAGAGATTTTAACGGACAATAGCTAATAATAATCGGGATCTAACATCCGACCTCACCTTCCTCTTCCATAACCAAGGGTTGCCAAAGCTTACCTTTCACAAAAATTAAAGTTTATAGCTTTGAAACCAAATGCCTCCTTTCAACTTTGTCCTAAAAAATTTGATTTACCAGCAGTAGTTACACTTCGAAAAAAATTAGTTAGTGAAAAATAAATTATAAAATTTAGGCTTAAATAATTGTAAATTAATTAGATCGAACCACTAAAATTGACAAAAATAAGTTACCACCAATTCTTCTCCGCCTTTTCTTCCTTCCACATTCCACACCACACTTAGTTATGGTTATATATGTGTGTATAAGTTGTATTCATTCCCCCACCCATTCTCCTAATTATTTTCCATTCTTTTGATCCGCCACGTTTATTTTAAATCAAAAACTACATTCTAAAATCTAAATACCGGCTAGAGTAATGAGGTAAGGATGAGATTGCTTTTACGAAGGATTTTTGTGTGGTGGGGTCCAAGCTCTGAAACATGTACTGTATGTATTGTACCCAAAAACAGGCAAGTGGAACGCGTTATTTCTTGGGAGAATGACAATTAAGGACCTGCTAAGAACATTAATTTCAATTACAGATCGTGAAATTTTAAAATTAGAGTTAAGGACCATAGTCCTTAATTGTGATAAAGAAATGTAATTTGTGAAGTGAGATTCACTAATGTGATTTGAGAATTCATTAACCCAACTTGAGAAAATTACTAACGTATATTGTGAAAACATGAAACCCTACTTGAAAATGAAATGTTTAACAAAAAGCGTCACTTGAGAATTCACTAATTAGACTTGAAAAATTTCTAACGTTTATTGTGAAAAAATGAAACCCCACTTGAGAATCATTAATAAAAAGTGACTTATCCAAATTAATATTTTTTTATTAAACAATCGATTCTTTCATGTTTTCACAATATATGTTAGAATTTTTTCAAGTTGAGTTAGTGAATTCTCAAGTAGCACTTTTGTTAAACATTCAATTTCCAAGTGGGGTTTCATGTTTTCACAATATACGTTACAAATTTTTCTCAAGTTGGGGTTAGTAAATTCTCAAATGGCAATAATGAATCCTACCTCACAAATTACATTTTTTTAATCACAATTAAGGACGTCCTTAATTGAAATTTCAAATTTCACGGTCCGTAATTGGGATTAATGCCCTTAGCAGATCCTTAATTGTCATTCTCCCTTATTTCTTTTTAACTCTTTCAGTTCAAAATTACATTTTATTTTTTGGTTCCATAAAATTTCGAAAGTTAACTAAGCACCTTCCTTTGCAAGGGTAGTTTTGGTACTCGAGACGCTGTAAAAGTAAAAAAGAGATGACATAAAAAGATATGCTTACTGAAGTTAATTTTTTAATGCAGATTACCCTTCATAATCATACTTTCAAATGATAAGAAAAAAAGAAAAAAAATTATTACTTCTCTTTTGAAAAAAAAAATAGAAACATAATTCAGGTTGATTTGAGTTACTATAATTACTTTTCTATTATCCTTCAATGTTTTAAATATGGACTTTAAATATAAAATAATAAAGTTACTTTTCTTTGTGGAAAAAGTCAAGGGTTACATTAATTATTTTCTTTTAAATAAACACATCCTTCTGTTCTAATTTTATCGCTCCAAGCTCTACGAAGACAAAACCTTTTTTTTTTTTTTGGTGTCTCGTTTTGAATTATGGTTTTTTTTAGTAAAAGAGCAAATTATTTTTTAAAATAGTGCAATCTAACTCTAAACTTTAATATTAATAAAAGTTAATATTAATTATTACTTGACTAAAAAAAGAAACAAGATTTTAAAAATTACAAAAGACCAATGAAAGGTTTTTTTAAAAAAATATAAGCATTTCTCCTTAATTAATTTTAATTTAAAATATAAGTAACTTAATATATATAAAATTTCTTTCTCATTTTATCTCTTACATGTAAAGTCTTTCACTGAAATGCATTGACAACTGAAAAAATAAATATTATATATTTTCAGAATAAAAATTTATGGATATGCAGATTTTATTAAAATCTATTTATATTTAAACCGAATATACTTTTAACTGAGAATATATTTTGTATTAAAATTGATTAAAAAACTGCTTTTATTTTTGAGAGTTAGAGTTGTAGTGAGACCAGTACACGTTTGGCAAAAAAAAAAAAAAAAAGACCTTCAAACGAAAGTACAAGTGGTGAACGTGAAAATGAAAAAGCAAGGAGGGTCATTTTAAGCGTCCTTTTGCCTTCACTTTGATGTGAGGCGCAGAAATAGATTTTAATTGAAATAAAATAAAGAGCAGAAAGAGACATAAACCAAAGTTGAGATGCGAAGGGTAGGATGGTAGTGCAGCACGATTTTGGTCTCACTTCTGCAAGTTTAATTTCAGACAATTTTGATTGCTAGTGTGAATATCCATATAAGAATTTTCCTGCGTTCCCATAGCAACTCATTGTGAAGCTATACTCTTGTTCTTGGATTATTCTACCTTTATTTATGAATCACGATTGAAGTTCATATGTTTCCTATTTTTGAAGAAAAAATTAAATGTATTTGAAAAAGTCAAAAAAATAAAATAACATTTCAGGTTTAACTCTAGTTAAAGGTATGGATTAAAAAAAAAAAAAACAGTGAGAAGTTGTAATCAAAGGTGATTTTTAGAAAACAACTAAGTAAATGTTTGGTCGTTTAGTATAGAGTGACTAACATGTACGATCGGACAGAGTAATAGATAATAATTATTCATTATATAAGATGTTATTTGGTGAACATAAATTTTCCGGTGCCAGCTATTGACATTTACCAAGCACAAACTAATTCCAAATTAAAATTTGTAAATATTACAATACTGTTTTTTATAAATTTTAAATAAAATAATTTGTGATGTACATGATATTTTTAGGTATACTTTTTGCAATTGTAATTGTGATACAATTAAGATCAATTAAATTTAATGCAATCTTTAAAATAAGTTTCAAAATGATAAGCCAATAATTAATCTTGTATCAATTTAAAAAATTCAAATTGTTTAAATTATTTCATATATTAATTTTAAAAAATAGAAAATGGTTCAAATTAATTTCATATGAATTTTTTTTTCACTAAATTTATGAATGATTATTATATTTTATTTGTTTAAAATAAATTTCTCTAAATGAAAAAATCATGAATATAAGGAATGAAAGATCACAGTCATCAAAAAATAATTTAGTATTTAACTATTTTTATATATTCTTTACTAAGTTATTGCTTTACTTTAACATTTGCTTTACTTTTAATAATACATCAGATAATTAAGAGTATAAGAATCGATTATTAATATATATATATATATATATATACTCCCTTCGTTCAAAATATAAGGTATTTTTTGAGAAGTTGGATGTTCAAAAATTTAAAGCATCTTTAGTCTTTCAAGATGTAATCATTGTCTTTTTTTTTTTAAAGTACTCCTATTAATGAATGACTTTATATTTATTGTAGGGTGTTAAAGAGAGGTAAATAAAAAAAAATGGGGTTAGTTTGAAAGTAGCTAACTACTTTATTAGAGGTGAGATTAAGTTAAAAATGCCTTATATTTTTGAACGAAGGGAGTATATATATAAAATCACATACCATGATGAGAGATGCCAAATATCATCTAGAGTCAAATTACACTCACATAATTTAAAGCATGTAAAATACATTTCCTTCACAACATTACGTTCTTTTCACCTACACATATAACAAAAACTTGTGATTAAATGACATTCAATAGCTAAAATAAAAGGGGCATCACTTAATTTCCTCACACTTTTTTTGAAAATGAAATAATCACAATAATTTAGCCATGAAAATACACAAAAGTGAAAAAAATTATAATGTATTTAATCAAAATAGTCTGGTTATAATGAATAAGATATAAGATATTATTGGACAAAAGAATATAGCTAATTACTAGGGTTTCATGTCACCCCCAACACTAAGGGTATGACTGGCATGAAATTTGAGATAAACTCACATCCCATACGCCTTAATCATATGAATTAAGCTAAAATATTGATAACTAATTTATATATATAATTGTAAGGTTTGAAATTTTTTTTAAAATATTCTATAGAAATTTCAGCAGAGTTTCTTCTATAATTTGGACCTTCCAAAATTTCTAGAATAACAAAACCTGTCAGCCAATATAACAAAGGATCTTAGCTTCACACCAACAAATTATATATCATCAAAACAAAACTAGGATCTAACTATGATATACATGGAGCATTAGATTACAATTACATCGAAATAACCAGAACGTACTTCTACTATCCAAAAAGTGATATTGCCCCTCAATAATCAACAGACAGGGTCATCTATGATATCTGAGACTAAATTTTTGGTAAGCAACATTCCAATCAATATTATAAATTATAGTTAATAAAAAAAATAAAAAATGACAGGTAGTAACTAATAAACGGACCATCCAATACATTCCTTCAATTTTGACCAAACATTGTTTATTTTCATACTTATAAGGCTTATAAAGTATTAATATCTCTAATCTTCTTGTCTTCATTTTTAATATATGCTCCAAAAGAAGAGGTTCAATGAGTTTTTTATTTGAAGACATTTACCAAGACGACATTAACAAAGTAGAAAAAATAATTCGTGACTAAATTAAGTTGGAATCAAGTTTTTTCTCATGCATAGTAAAATCAAGCTTCTACTTCATTGGTATCGTCTTTGTGAATGTCTTCAAATAAAAATTCATTAAATCTCTCCTTCTAGAGCTTTTACTGAGAATGAAGGCAAGAAGATTAGAGATATT